CTCATGGCACTGTGTTTTTTCCTGCCCAGAAATGAACTGCTCTATTCCAGTCATTAGAGTGCTCAGACCTGAGTAATAATTTACATAGGTCCCCTGTGATGACTAAAGAAATTTAATATGGAACCAGGCATCCCTTAAGGGCCATTGACCTTTTGCTCTGGAATGCCTGGGAGATCCTAGTGGCCTGCAGGTGAGAGAAGAATAAGATAATGGGCTGTGAGGTAGTAACAGCCACCTTTGCTTCTGTAAAACCTTCTATTGCTATGGGAAAGGGGATGAAATGGCCTTTTATTACTATAGAGAGGGAAGAAAAAGACAACCGAGGGAAGTAAACAATTTTCTTGCCCAGCTGTGAGTTCCATGGATATTTGTAATGCATACCTTTCTGATGTCTGTCCTTAGCCACACCCCCTTAACCTCCACTTCTAGCCTGGTAGAAGGCTGCAGTCCTTCAGCTAGGCAGGAGAGCTGGCCCTGCCCCTCACCAGCTGCAGCACTAGGGAGAGTGTGTCATGCACCTCACCTGGGCAACACAGTAAAGCTGGTCCCGGTGGTATGGGTGTGGGTGTGGGTGAGCCGCCCTGGGGGCAGGAAAGCAGAAGAACTGGCCCTGGCCCTTGCTACATGCTACATGCCGCATGCAGGTGGGGGGAGGGGGACGGTGGGGGGGGGGGGATTTGCGGGGGGGGGGGGGGGGGGGGGGTACAGTGCAGGAGAGCTCGCCCTGGTGGCAAGGATGAGGGAGAACTGGCAGGCTGACAAACCAGCTACCACCCAGGCTCAGAACCAGGGCTATGAGGTGGCCCACCAAAACATCCACCCCATCTGTGAACTGCTGGAGCACATGAAGGGACTGATCCTGCAGATCCAAAGCTGCAGGATCTCCATGACACCGGGCAACAACAGGATATCCAGGAGTCGCCCAGTGAAAGCCCAGTATTGATAGTGAAGCAGAAGCCAGAGGCCTCGAACCAAACCAATGACGCACTGCAATGAACACTTGCAAGTAAAGATGTATGGACTAAAGGGTATACTGCGTGACTCACAGTGACACACTACAGCTTCGGCAATGAGATTTTTTTTTCTTTTAAATTTTATTTTCTTGGGGGGAAGGCTGCAAGGGTAGAGGGCAGATACAAAGGGACAGGGAGATGAATGGGATTAGGATGCATCATGTGAAATCCATAAAGAATCAATAAATAGATTTTTTAAAAAGAATAGATTCATTTAATTTAAATTTGAATTGAGTCTAGGTCTCTGATTTCTCCCAGTGGACTTAAACACCACAACACTAACTTGATGTCAAATGAACAGAGGGTACCAAACAAACCTTGTAGTAAATGTTACACTCGGGCTACTCACATCAGTGCATTGTGTTGATTCTGCCAAACACCTGAATCTAAACTCTCCTCCTTGACTGTCGAAATAATGAGGCAAACCCTGGAAAGGAACTTCGCTCTTGAATCTTGGAGAATATTTATGAAGGTGAGCACAGTGAACAAATAAAATCAATGGTAGAAAAAAAAAAACAATGCAAAACATGCTTCCTTGTTGCCCCAGGCAAATCTGTTGCTTAAACAGTAACAACAGAATCTAATCAGTAAACTTCCCAGCTGCCAAAATTATACGAGCAACTTGCCTATTTAAAAATGTCACATTTCCCAGCTGATATAAATATTTGCCTTCTGCTTACATTCCTAAAGTGCAATACAAATTAGGCCACACACTGAAATTCACCTTGGCACAAAGTATTTAATTTCTTTCTTCCTTTCAAGTGACCCAGATTGTACATTATGAAAATTGGGAAACCCTGGTGGCCTTTTGGTGATTAGAAAAGATCACTGCAGACTGAACCGACTGTCAGCCATCAATTCACACATCATTTCACACAAGAGACAGTCTTAACTACTTCATTCAAGTCCACTGAGACTTGCTTCAGCCTCAGTAACTGTTAATACACAAATGCAAGACCTCCTGCTCCCTAGTTTCTGGAAACACGATACTAGTGAGATCTTCTCATTCAACTTCTTAAAAGAAAGAAAGAAACCTGGTAACTGAATAGTATACTTGAAAAATGTTTTTAAAAAGCAATGCCACAAATAATAGGAAAAGCTGATGTAAAAAAAAATTAAATTTGCCAGCCACATTGGCTTACGGTGGTTCGATGAAAGGTATCCACCTCTCCCTCATATACTTGCCTGGTGTTTAGCATTGTTAAACGGTGCTAGAATCTCACAAATCACTATTAACATTAGTGATACACTCTAGGTTCTTGTTGTAAGCAATACTGATCATCTCCCTGTAAATAAGCAAAGATGTTGGGGATGGGAAAATATGACTCCCTAATTAACAGCTGTTATCCCATATTACAGCGGTAGCCTTCAACATTTAACTTGTAAAAGCCAGGCAGATAGCACTGATCTTATACTGGCTGTTCTCAACCCTCTACAGACACCTTGAGAAAAATCCACAGTAGCCACACAATGAGCTCCTAAAGTACATTCACTCTCCAGCAAAACATTGTCCTTTTCACTGGAAGAGCTCTAGAGAGCTTTCAAGCCTGGAGGGCCAAGGCTCTCCAGTACCCTTGGACCTGCAGATACAAAACTGGCCTGCCAAGGGCTGGGGCATGCCAACTCCCTGAGCCTACACTTATAAAACTAAGGGTCATGGTACCCATTCCTATACAATAACTGAACCACCAAGGGGAGCAAAGGGGCCCCCTCATCAGAGCCAGGAGGAGAGTTACACTCTAGAGGGTGCTGCACGCTGCCGCTCCCTCCTGTCTGTGGCTACAGCTCACTGTTATCAAATGCTAAGGGATATTTAAAAAAAAAAAAATTTTTTTTAAACTGACAAATACCACCACTCACAGAGATTCTCCTCAGCTATCCACAATTTCTATTGGGGAGAGCAAAAGAACACCAAGCCGTATGACTGACAAGTACAGACTTTTTCACTGCTAGCAGGAAGTAAGAAACTTCACCACAATAATGCCCAATACAGGCTCTCTCCTGCCCGCCTATAAAACTTCTATCTTGGAAATGTTTTATATATAGACGAGAACCAGTAGTCTTAAGGTGTCAACCTCAAACAATACCAGAATGACTAAAAATGCAGTTCATGGGATGTCACCAAAGAACTAGTGAATTAGGTTTTCTTATGGGTGTAGGATATAGAAATCTGCCTTGTTTTTAAAAGCAAGCTTTATTCCCCAAATCAACCAAAATAGGTGCTTTATCCTTCCTGGCTCTCCCTTAATCAGGTCTTACAAAACTCAGAGTCACTGGTGTATGACATTTCGAATTTTATTGTTTCAAATTCTCAAAGCCTTACCAATTCAAGTAGCCCAAAAAGCTAGGGGAAGGGCCTACTTATCAAGTGACAAGCAATTGCTACTCCAGATCAACTATCCACAGCCACTTAGATGCCTATCTAGTCGTAATGAAAACTCTTCTCCCAACAATAGCAATAACTTGTGGTTATTATGACTAAACAGTGTGACAGCAGGAAAAGGTCAACCAAACCCACACAGGAACATCCCTGTGCCTAAACTTTAAGATTAACTTCAAGATGTCCTCTCCCATGCAATAAAGAGCCAGGGTTTTCTGCTGTCCCTACTGTTAATATTGCTTGCTTTTCTCATGAAGCCTAGTGTTGTAGAATATTATTTTAAGATGTGTTACATTTGTTTATGCTGTGGAACATTTGTTTGATGGTGCAAAGATGTGCTGCATTCTTTTATGTTGCATCTGTTTGACTCTGTGAAGTTGTGTTACGTTGCCTGTCTAAAACACCTGATGGTCTAATAAAGAGCTGAACAGCCAATAGCAAGGCAGGATAAAGGACAGGCAGGGCTGGCAGGCAGAGAGAATAAGTAGAAGGAGAAATCTGGGGGAAAAAGATCAAGGAAAGGAGGACTCCAGGAGCAAGCCACCCAGTCACCCAGCCACTCAGCCACCCAGCCAGACACAGAATAAGGAAAGAAAAGATATACAGAAATAGAGAAAGGTAAAAGCCCAGAGGCAAAAGATAGATGGGAGAGCTTAAGTCAAGAAAAGCTGGCTAGAAACAAGCCAAACTGAAGCTATGCATTTATTTATAAGTGAGAATTAAGTCTCCGTGTGTGATTTATTTGGGAGTGGGTGGCAGGCCCCCCAAAGAGCCCAAAGAGTGAAAAAACAACCAACTGAAGCCAGTCTAGCCTCAAACTGGCTAAGTAGTCAAGGATAACCTGAATTTCTGATACTCTTGTGCTGATATTACCTCATGTGCCACCACACCCAGTTTTAATGGTGAGCTGAGGATAGACACCAGGACTTCACCCATTCTGGGCAAACACTCTTCAGTTGAGCTATATATATATATCGCCAGCCCAAACTCCAAAGGTCCTTTGAAGAAACATACTTGTGCTTATACAAAAATGCTAACCAGGAAAGGAGAAAGTAATTCTCCATACGAACATCAGTGGATTAGCATAAGGCCCCTTTCAGTGGATTGTGGAAAAAGGACTCAGAAAAAGCATTCACTACATTTGTTCACTTACATATTTCATAAATTTTTAAAGGCAAAATTCTGCATGTTATTATTGTTTATTTTGTGATCAATTTTTATATTTTTATGATTTTTTATGGTCAATTGCTGTTTTACATTTTCCTTTAAAATAATATCAATTTTACAAGACCGTTCTTCTGGGAAATAAGGCAATAACTTTGTAAGAGCTATATGTGACATGATTATTTAATAGTTTAATTTATTCTGAATTTAGGGGGAAGGAAAGGGACAGCTCTATATCAATTAGACCAAAGGTTTTATAAGTTTCAAAAGGCTTTAACTGATTGGGTAAAAGTTTTTGCTTTTCAAAAAGAAATTTCACAACTTCAGTTTTCCTTACATCAAGGGAGGTAAGGTAAAGATTGCCAAACATAACAAAGCAACATAAATCACTTGCAGTTTCTAGAAAGAGGTCATACAGTATGAAAAAGTCAGAGGGCACATACCCTTGTTCATCTGGGGCTCACTCTCTTCCTCCATGTCCAAATCTTCTAAGTCTAGGAAGTTGTCTACCTACAAGAAGATTGAGATTATCTTGCATATATTGGACATGAAGAAAGGCAGTGTAGTCAGGGCCCCCCACACACAGCTGAAGGCTGGATCTGCTTTCCTGTGACCTCCCCAGGCCCAGTTAAAAGCCGCTGTATGCCTATGCTTTCCCATCTGTAGGAGCATGACATCCGCAAGCCCAGGGTTTTAAAACACCACAGCCTGCTCTCTACAGCAAAAAGGTAAACAGACGGGGGTCCTTGTAAGGGACTCTGTTCCAAAGTTTCTTCCCAGAATTTTTATCAGAGGAGACAGCAGGTTCCGGGTTTGGGTTTGCCTGCTTCTCAAGCAACCAGTGATGATGGTAGCCAGGACCCTTCCTCACAGCATGGAGAGCCAGAGAGTGGAAGCTAAAGACGGCAGGAAAGAAAAGGTCATTTAAAACAAAAGCATGCTGCCCAGGTAAATCACAGGAGAGGTGAGCAGGGCAAAATATCAAGTGTTCTCTCTTTCAGGCAAATAAAACGGAGAATTACTTCAAAGGCAAAAAGCACAGCAAATAACCTCCCAGACCAAATAGCAGCATTTCAATGAAGAACTATTCCACATGGAATACTGCTTCCCACTGCACACTGACAATGAGGCATCTCAGGGGACTATCAAAGAATGTAAATAAGAAAATGCTGGCACATGGCATGGAGTAAAGACACAAGGTCGCCATTCGTTTTATGCTCACAACCTGAACGTAGAATTAACAAAATACCTTAAAGTTACAAATGGAGATTCCTTAACTGCAATTCAAGACAGTCTGTGTCTTTCTGTCCTGAGCTGAATGCAGAATGTGTAGTAGGCAGACCATGCTGAACCCACAGAAAGTGAAAATGATAGCTTCCATGCTGTTAACCTGGTAACAGCAACTATTACTGAGCATGCAAACTCAAAAGCAAAATTCACCTTCCATATGTTTCAATACTAAAATTTGAGAATCAGTTACATTATAACATCTTTCTTAATGATTATGCTAAAATTCCCTTCCCATTTGTTAAACCTTAAGGAAACAAAGATCCAGAACCCAGCCAAGCACAAACAGTTTAAGATGTTCCAACACCAATTTTAAAAAAGAAAATCTTTCACGGATAAAATCTGGTGAATCTCCAGTTTTGTACAAAGAAAAGCAAGAGTCTACTGTTTGCCTATTGGTTTGTATGGTAGTTAAAATAAGGGCTGTCTCCCACAGACTCTAGTAATTGAATACTTGGTGCCAGTCAGTGATGCTGCTTAGAGAGGTTTAGGAGGCAAAGCCTTGCTGGAAGAAGTCTGTCACTGGAGGTGGGCTTTGTGAGTAAAAAACCTTGCCTACTTCTAGTTCACTCTCTCTGCTTCCTGCTTGTGGTTGAGGTTGTGAGTTCTCGGCTTCCTGCTGTCTGCTGCTTGTTATTATGCCTCCCCACCATGACAGACTTTTATCTATATACTCTTTCTTTCGAAGTTGCCTTGGTCATGGTGATTCATCATAGTAACAGGAAAGTTTCTAATACATTTGTTTATGTGTGTTCTTCCCAAGGCAGATAACTGACTCTGGCCTTACCTTCACCTTTCCAGCCCGGGTCATATCACCTTGAAGGAAGCTGCCAACTTGCTGGCCTTCATCAATCACTATCTGAAAACACAGTAAGGACACACAGTCAGGAAATAATAGTTTCTGTTCCTAGCAATATCTGGAAGACCAGACTCTCTAAGCTATAGCAATGGTAAAGGGATAGGTTTCAGCAAGTCTAACTGCAATTCTGGTACCCTAGACTCACCCAACACATAGCAGGTGACTTAACTCAGCATGCTTGTGTATAAAACAGACAGCTGCTCCACCTCCTAGTCAGCCCCGCAATGAACCTCTGATACACAAATCAGAGACCACTGCTACAATACAACAATTCTAGGCCTCCCTACATTTAATAAAATCTCAATCATCACCAGTAGAGTGTGAATCGTTTACGAAAAATATCTCATATCTCACACTAGAAGCAAGCTCTAAGAAAAGGGATTATAAATCACTGTTCTATACAAACACATTTCTATCACAGAGACTTCTGACCCTTATAAAAACAAAATATTGTGTAATTCTGTCCATAATATCACATGGAAAACATTGCAAACAGAAACAAAAACTCAAATGATTTTTTTAAAAAATTAATCAAAACTCAAATGGCTTGAAAAGAGAACACTATGAATTATCATTCCTTGATAATTAAAGACAATAGTCAAAGAGGAGATGAATACTGTTGATGAGGTCTTGATGATTAGAGAACACCATCTAATATCTACAAACCAAATCTTAGAAAAAGCAAGATAATGGCTTCCACTTTAAGTCTAAATGTGATAAATTTAGGACAGGAAAATGTCCAGTTTATACAAAGAAGTAGAAAAGTGAACTCTCTTCTTAAAAACGAAATATACGATTTTATGACGCATTTACACATGGAAGAGTGCTAAGAAGTTTTCACCAAAAACTGAAGATTATCAAACTCTGGCATGTAAAGACTTAATTCTCAATAGAGCGCTGTTCCAATGGCCACTTTTCCTAGGAAGAATGCTTTCTTCTTCAAGCTGTTTCTATAAACATAAAACAGAATTACCTGGTCATCTTCTGAGCATTCAGATGAAGTATGAGGAAAGATGGCTGTATTTCTAAGATGATGACCATTTGATTCATTTCTATGGGTCAATTTTTCAGCAGTAAATATATTTTCTGATGAATCAGTTCCATGTGCTCCCCCTTTGGCCACATTATCCTCTGAAATGGTAAGTTATGAATTATTAAAAACACCTACGGTGGTCAGATTGTTTCTTTTGTGTTTACTGGAAATTTTTCGTTCCTTCCCCCCCAAAAAAATAATCCTTCTCAAAGAACTATAAAGTAGAAGTTTCTTGAAGTCTTAACTACTCTTAAATATAGATAACACTCCTTCAACATCTGATGAATATTGTCTACTATATACCCAGCACTATTTTTTACCATTGTTTAAAAGTTCAAGAAAGTACAGTTCCCTCAAAAATGTGAGACATTATTTATCGTTTCCCTTAGGTTTGGAATTTTTTCTTCAAATGGAAGCAATGTATGTCTACTTTTAAAAAAAATATGAGGAAAAGAGCAAAATACGAACATCATCCCTTTAATCCTACACAGCAGAATAACCACAATAAAATGTTTTAAGTGCTTATCTGTTCATTTCTTATGTATCAAAGTATTTCTAAAACTCCAAATAGGATACATAAATGCTATAATTTTGTTTGCCAGTAGTGTTTTTATGTTATTGAATATTACTCTACATAATTTTAAGTTATAGAGAACTCTATTATCTAAATGTAAGGTAGTTTACTTAATCAAGTCCATTATTCTTTTATTATTAATTTTTTTCTAGCCTGATCACAGTTTCCCCCCTCCTTCCCTACTCTCCTCCCAGTCCCTCTCCCCAGTCTCCTTCCTCTCCCCACCACCACCCAATCACGCCTCTTTCTCTCCAACCTCTCCATTCTCTTCAGAACAGGGCAGGCCTTCCATTAGATATCAACCAAACATGGCAGATCAAGGTGCAGCAAGACTAGACACCTCCTCTCCTATTAAGGCTGGACAAGGCGACCCAGTAGAAGGAAAGGGTCCCAAAAGCAAGTAACAGAAACAGGCCTGCCCCCACTGTTACGAGTCCCACATGAAGACCGAGATACACAACTGTAACATGCATGCAGAGGGCCTAGGCCAGTCCCCTGCAGGCTCCCTAGTTGCCAGTTCAGTCTCTGTGAGCCCCTGTGAGCCTGGGTTAGTTGATTCTGTGTGGGTTTTCTTTGGGTGTCCTTGACCCCTCTGGCTCCCACAGTCCTTCCTCTCCTGTTTGCCTGAGCTCCTCTAGTATTTGATTTTGGGTCTTTGCATCTGTTTCCATCAGCTGATAGGTGAAGCCTCTCTGGTGACTATAGGGCTAGGCACCAGTCTATAAGTATAGCAGAATATCATTAGGAATCATTACATTTACTTTTTTCCCACTAGTCATGTTTGGCTCTATCCTAGGTCTCTGGGCTGTCCAGCCTCTGGGTTCTAGCCCTCCAGGCAGTGTCAGGAGCAGACTCCCACTCATGGTATGGGTCTCAAGCTGGACCAGTCTCAATGTCCATTGTTAACCATTTATAATTATAAGTAATACCTCTTGCTGGTTGGTGGTGCATGCCTTTAATCCTAGCACTCAGGAGGCAGTGGCAGCCAGATCTGAATTTGAGGCCAGACTGGTCTACAAAACAAGTTTCAGGACAGCCAGGACTACACAGAAAAACCCTATCTTGAAAAAACAAATTTTATATATAAAATTTTGGAGTCTGGGATGGAGTCTTAGAACAAAATTGACAATTTTATATATGTGTGTGTGTGTGTGTGTAAAATTTGGTTTTATATATATTATATATATATTATATATATATAATATATATAATTATAAGCAATACCTCTGTATTAAATCCATGCACAGTTACGGTTTTTCCTTAGGATAAGAAAAAAACCTAAGATTAATGAAAAATTAAGAGACTATGAAAATTCTATTGTAACCCCATCAATAGAAATGTGGGGGAACAAAATAGAATAAGTCGGGTAAGAAATAAGAAATCTTGATCTTGCATGTTTCATTTGAGGTATTATGGAGGAAATGACCCAAACACAGCTGCAAATGTAGGCTGAAGTGTGGAAGGAATAACACAATCAGAGGTGACTACCTGACCCTCATCTACACTGAAGCAATAGCTTAAGCCAAAGAGAAAATTTTAACATTGGCATCATGGTTAATATTGACTGTCAACATCACAGACTCTAGGATCACTAAGAGGCAAGCTTCCAGGCACACCTGTGAGACATTATCAAGGTTAGCATAACTGCAGGGGGAAGTGCTGTGGGATGTTCTGTATGGCAAATGTGTTGCTGATTAGTCAATAAATAAAACACTGATTGGCCATTGGCTAGGCAGGAAGTGTAGGCAGGACAAGGAGGAGAATAAAGCTGGGAAGTGGAAGGCTGAGTCAGAGAGACACTGCCAGCCACCACGATGAGAAACAGCATGTGAAGATGCCGGTAAGCCACGAGCCATGTGGCAAGGTATAGATTAATGGAAATGGATTAATTTAAGCTGTAAGGACAGTTAGCAAGAAGCCTGCCACGGCCATACAGTTTGTAACCAATATAAGTCTCTGTGTTTACTTGGTCGGGTCTGACGGCTGTGGGACTGGCAGGTGAGAGATTTGTCCTGACTGTGGGCCAGGCAGGAAAACTCTAGCTACAAATGGCGTCCAACGTGGTGGCAAGAGTTTCCACCTAAAACTTGAGAAAAGATTATAAAACGGAGCTAAAAACAGCTTCCTAATTGTCTCTCTCAAATGAGCGGCAGCTGCTGGTTGAGCTACTTGTGGGTTCCTAGCGTGCGTGCTCGACCTGCAGTATGGCGGGAATGAGGCCTCTGCAAGTGGCACATTAAGCTGCATAGTGGATTTAGCCTTTGCAGGTACAAAACAAAAAAAGAGGTTTCTGGGCTACACGCTGCTTGGCTAAAAGCATAGACCCACGATAGCTCCCAGAGCTGGTGGTAAACCACCATCATGCTGGGACACTGAGGTGGGTGGAGCCAGCAGCCACAGCTGCTGCAGTTTAAGGCAATAGATTCACAATAAGAGAGATTCAGATGTAATAGTTTACAATGTGTGTAAAAGATACGTAGGCTTGAAAGAGACAAAAAAGGTGATATATAGAGTTATAGAAACAAATACATAGTTTTAAAAAAATAAAGTCTTTAAAGAGACAGTAAAATTAATATAGAAAATAAGCCATGTAAAGATGAATATTACACAGAGAATCTGGATTGTGTTGTCTTTGGGATTTTTAACTGCAGAAAAACATTTGATTGTAAAAGTTGTTGAGTTATGCCGAAATGTATATTTTAAAGGTACCTTGACTTCAAAATTTGGATATAAGGATATGTTGCTTTGGAAAAGAGTCTCTGCTTTTGTTTCCACAGAAAGCCAGAGGCTATGGATTTGTTCCAGATTAAGATACATCAGGTTTGACCAGCCAAGACCCCCTGAAAGGTCTCCGATGACACCATGGCCCAGATGATCCAACATCCAGAATGGTTTCAAGGCAACTGGCTCAGACGATACAGCCTCACGGACTACTCCATGATCCTAAAATTTTCTTTGTATCCCCATAAGATACAGCGCCCCCCTCCAGCAGGAAGTAGTAAGAGAAGCTACGCCCAAATTCCCAAATTATATGTAATTTTACTTTGTTAAGGTTAAAACCTTCCTTTTTGAAAAAAAAAAAGGGGGAAGTGCTGTGGGATGTTCTGTATGGCAAATGTGTTGCTGATTAGTCAATAAATAAAACACTGATTGGCCATTGGCTAGGCAGGAAGTGTAGGCAGGACAAGGAGGAGAATAAAGCTGGGAAGTGGAAGGCTGAGTCAGAGAGACACTGCCAGCCACCACGATGAGAAACAGCATGTGAAGATGCCGGTAAGCCACGAGCCATGTGGCAAGGTATAGATTAATGGAAATGGATTAATTTAAGCTGTAAGAACAGTTAGCAAGAAGCCTGCCACGGCCATACAGTTTGTAACCAATATAAGTCTCTGTGTTTACTTGGTCGGGTCTGACGGCTGTGGGACTGGCAGGTGAGAGATTTGTCCTGACTGTGGGCCAGGCAGGAAAACTCTAGCTACAGGGAAGACTCACCCTGAACTCAGGAAGCAGCAGTCCATGGGCTGGGGTCTTGGACAGAACAAAAAGGACAAAGTATACTGAGTACAAGTACTCATGTCTCTCTGCTTCTTGGCTGGGATCCAATGTTTTACCAGCCACTTCAAACTCTGACCAGCACACCTTCCCTGCCATGATGGCCTTTCCTGGCAGACTGAGCCAAAATAAACCCTTCCTTCTTTCCTTAAGTTGCTTTTGTCAAGGAATTTTGTCACACACAGCAACGGGACAATTAACTAATACAATTAGCAATATTGACATTGGTAAGGGCTTAAAGTCACTGAGTGTTGAATGTTCTTTCTGAGCATTTCATGAGACATTTCATTTTAAATCTTCCAAAATCCCTAGAAGGCAGTCCTGTTTCTATCCCCACTTCACAGAAGACAGTAACTCAGGATACTAGAGATTAAATAAAGTGTCCAAGGTAATGTAGCTGGTAGGTAACCGTTGGATACAAGCCCAAGTCTTCTGACTCTAAGACCTACCCTAACCACTGTTTTGCTACCCTGAGTAAAACAGTAAAACAACAAAGGGAGAGGTCCTTACTGAACAAAATAAGAAAAAAGTGCAATAAGGAGAAGGGAGTGTTGTGGGATGTCTTTCTGTAAGCTGTGAATATGTGTTGCTCTGATTGGTTGATAAATAAAGCTGCATTGGCCTGTGGCAGGGCAGGATGGAGCCAGGCGGGAAAATCCAAGAGAGACAGTGAAAGGAGAAAGGAGAGTAAGGGGAGACGCCAAACCGCCATCCAAGGAGCAACATGTAATGGGACATGGAACACATGGCAATACATAGATTAAAAGAAATGGGTTAATTTAAGATGAAAGAGCTAGCTAGCAAGGAGCCTGCTATAAGCCACAGAGTTGGTAATTAATATAAGCCTCTGAATGATTATTTTATAAGCAGCTGTGAGACCTCAGGGTTGGGCAGGACACAGAAAAACTTCCAGCTACAAGGGAGAGAAAATTTAAAAGGAAAAAAGCTTTCAAATGTCAAAGAGGAGTCAAG